AATGCACGTCGTCGGTCTACGAAACGATCGCTATATTCTACGAAGTTACAACATTTACGATATGAACAGCATGTAGGTAGGACTATTAGTGTCGGTACATTTCTAAGAAAATATTATACAAGTCTGGCTGTAGATGTTTAATGTAAACATTGTAGAACATGCAACTATGTACCTAAACATATAGGTAGTCGTATATCAATTCAATGGACGACCGCCGTGGCCGAGCGGTTTGCATGTTTCATGGTGTCGCCGACTCGAGAGGTCCCGGGTTCGAATCCCGGTGGGGGCAGATGTTTGTATGGTGAATACGACCATTTGTTCTCCGGTCATGGATGTTAAATATATATTTCTATATAAATATTAGTTGACCCAGCGAACTTCGTACCGCCCTAAAAAAATAGGGGTTGTCCAGCGGACAAAATTGTGAATCTAAACCATTCTCAGATCCCCTTGAACACACACAAAAAATTTCATCAAAATCGGTCCAGTCGTTTAAGAGAAGTTCAGTGACATACACACTCACAGAAGAATTATATATATAAAGATACTTATATATGTACATCAAATATAACGTACATATTCTGTCCGTTACCCTAGTATCCCATAACACAAGCCTTACAGTGCTTACTTTGGGGCTAGGCTAATTGGTGTGTGAAAAAAAAATGTAATAATTGTAGTTCATATGTGTCAAAATAGATGGCGCTGTAGTTCTTTGCATCACGCTTGCAAATTTGTTTGAAGTTACATATAGGCAAAACGTCACCAAACTAATAAAGGAATCTATGGTCAAACAAAATCCACCTTAGTTTCATTTAATTCTTTTGCACCTAAGCTCTCGGATTTTAAGAGTCATTTTGGCTTGAACATGGTCCTTCGAGCCGGCTCGAAGGAAATGAAACTAAGGTGGATTTTGTTTGACCATAGATTCCTTTATTAGTTTGGTGACGTTTTGCCTATATGTAGCTTCAAACAAATTTGCAAGCGTGATGCAAAGAACTACAGCGCCATCTATTTTGACACATATGAACTACAATTATTACATGCACAAATGGCGTATACAAACATCAAAAATTTCAAAGCTTTTCAAAAAAAGCACTTCTGTAGGCCGGTAATGTGAGGTGCTTGGTGTGGCAGTTCATAACTGCTGCACCAGCTATCTTCGCGTTTGCTCTTTACTACCACTTAACATCTGGTGGGGTAGAGTTATTTGCCTACCTAAAGCTCTCTTCTCTCTCTCTCTTTCAACCTGTCAACCCTTTGGGTGTAGGCCTCCTTCAAATTACGCCACCTGTCACGATCTTGTGCGTCTTGAAGCTAATGTTTTCCTGCTGTTCTTTTAATGTCATCGTCCTAACGCATCTGAGGTAGACTTGCAACGAATAGTATATTCGGCAGTATACCGAATATTCGGCGAGGCCCCTGACCGAATAGCCGAATATTAGGCAAAAGTATTCGGCTGGATTTTAGCGCCAAAAACTTGTACAGACGTGATTGTTTCGCGCTCCTTTGTTTTGTTCTAATCTGCCGTCCTCAAGCTAAAATGCGGCTAAATGACAAAACCAACTTTTGAGATATGGCCAAAAACGGCACGTAAACCTTAAATTATTGCTATTATGTAACCATTCATCACATGACTGAATGAATTAAAAACTGTTAACTTGTTTAATACAGAAAATGATTAAATTATGTTCCTGTTTTATGTACCAATGACTACTTAATAAATGATTATAAAAGAAATGAGAACCTTACCCTTCTAAATTTTGATTACCACAATAATTCAAATACATAGAATCCTCCATTTTTCCAATTCAGAAGATGATTATGTACCTGTGTTATGTACCAATGACTACTTAAATGATTATATAACAGAAATGAAAATATGAATATATACGTAATCAAACGATTTTAATTTTTCATTTTACCAATTATTTCTCTATGGCAAAATATATTATTTAGGTATTCGGTATTCGGCCGAATAATATGTAGATATTCGGTATTCGGCCGAATATAATAAAAGCAGCCGAATAGGCCGAATAGTAACCGAATATTCGTTGCAAGTCTATTCTGAGGTCTTCCTGGAGGACGTTATTGACCCCAAGGTCGCCACTCAAGGAGTCTAAAGCAATCTTTAAAAAGTGGGTTATAGTCTGTTTTCATTCACCACTTGGTTGGTTGTAATTTTATCAATTTTCCACTGTTCAAATATTAATTTGCTTCATTGTCTGTCAACAGATTGCAGTTCAATTGATCTCGCGCGGTGCAAGCGCCCCGATTGATTAGAATCTAGTATAAGAAGCGCCGCCAGAAGCAAACCTAACAAGTGCCAATTGAATGCCATTAACGTTTTTAAAGAGATGTTTTAATTCATATGACTCTCCTTCTTATGATACCTCCCCAACGCGGAATGGTCATCAGCTTATGCAAAGCTAAAATTAAAATAAAAATTATGCAAATTTTTGTTTGTTCTGGGTAAGATCAAAGGGCGGGCGATGCATGCTTAATGCTTCCTCATTTTCGGCATGACCGAGTTAGGTGATTTCCTGCATTCTAGTCTTTTTGTTTCTCAACCGGGATTGACTCATATAACCGGATTTCTTCAACAGCAATGGTTTTACAAAAAAACGACGGGTTGCACTCCGGGAGTGCCGGCAGAAGTGAAAACTTGAATATTAACGTTGTGCATTTTTGATATTTTGGAATGGTTAGGGAATAATTTTCCACGAATTGCTTTAATTATTATCGGTATAGAAGTACTATCGTGTATGTGGTAGAATACATTATTTATTTATTGCGCTATCGTACACAAACATGACAATTTATATAACATTAAAAAAGTTTATCGCTCAGAAACATTAATTTACATTAAATACGTTTAAGCGCACTTAGCGACATCTATTGTAAAGAAATCAACTTACATGAATCACATTTAAGCGCACCTAGGGACATCTACTGTAAAAAATGCATTTTCTTCGCAATAAAGCTGCCACGTGGACGTCCTAGACAGAGACTTATTATTATAATACGGTAAAATAAAATATTATTATGTTTCGTGCAATATATTGAAAGTCATCAACCTTTCCAATTTTATTGTGTGTCATGATGCGATCAGCCCACGTGTTTAACCTGACGCGAGTTTAACATTTTTTACCCATACATGAAAATAGAGTACAACGCCGCTAAAGAAATTTTCACTTCAAAATCGTCAGATGCCAAGTTTTCAGTGCAGTTTTCAGAGCTGAGTCTGTTGACGGCCAGACATAGTGATTTCATGACCCAATCTAAAATCAGATTCCACCCACGGGGAATGCCTCTACCCTAGTAGTGAGAATAATAATAGGCTTAGAATGAAAATAAATTTTATTCAAGTTAACTTATTAAGAGCTTTTTTGAATCGTCATTACTATTTTTTTCTACCACCTGTTCAGTACCTTTAGCACGGACCATGGAAATAAATTAATATCGAATTCGTATCGTTTGCGAGTCCGAAATGTTAATGTCAAATTTTATATGAAAACTTGAACAGCAACGCCGCAAAGTCCGTAACGAGAACTAAAAATCAGTACACATTTGACAATGACATTTCGGACTCGCAAACTATTCGAATTCGATATTGGTTCGTGCTAGGGGTACAGGACACTTTTAACTGACAAGAAAAAAAGGCGAAAGTAACTTTTCCACTGTCTATGAATGGCGGAGATGTTAAGGATAAAATAACTTGAACTCTCGCTGTCACATATTTGTATTTATACTGTATGACACAGCAATCAAAATGCAGGTAAACAATTAATGTATATTTAATAATTATGTAATGAAAGGTGACTTCATGAATCATCTCTGAAGTCATTTTTCAATTTGACGACTCTGTAAATAATAAAACAGGGAGAAAAAAACAGCCCTTGCTGAGTTTCTTGCCGGTTCTTCTCAGTACAAGGTTTCCCGCCGTAGATTTACGAACCGATCGCGTAGCTTCTAGACATTCATGAGTGCTTGTAACAGCCTAAACTGAAAAATGCAGGTAAACAATTAATGTATATTTAATAATTATGTAATGCAAGGTGCCTTCATGAATCATCTCTGAAGTCATTTTTCAATTTGACGACTCTGTAAATAATAAAAAAGAGGGAGAAAAAATCAGCCCTTGCTGAGTTTCTTACCGGTTCTTCTCAGTACAAGGTCTCCCGCCGTAGATTTACGAACCGATGGCGTAGCTTCTAGACATTCATGAGTGCTTGTAACATCCTAAACTGAATAAATGATTTTGATTATGATAAAACTAGTTTTTTACGGGTTAATGCACGAAACTTTATTTATTTATTGACGTTTCGCAGCCTTTACAGGCTGCGTCGTCAGAATAAATTTTTTAATTAATTTTGTTTAGCTACCTTCGAAAGACTTTTATTGAGCGTTCGGTTATTTCATTGTTCGATTTTTAAAGTTTTATTGTCTATGTATGAATTAAAGTTTTGTGCATTAACCCGTAAAAAAATAGTTTTATTTAATGAGTGATGTGCGTGAAAACCTTTTTTTTTGTGTTGGGAAAATGCGTGACCGCCCCTGGGTGAGAGACGGGTTTATGTGGGACTCATCCTCCCCCACATCCCGCCCACCCGCTCAGCCAAACTGGCTCAGCGGCTGCTCGGGATGAGGGGGCGGCCCTACCCACTAAAAGTTTCGTGGGATCCAGGTGACGTTTCCCCCGGCAGGGGTTCCTCCTCCTCCTGGCGGTCGGGGGGATACCCGGGAGCACCTAATGTGCGTGAAAACCTAAGAAACAAATTGATTATGATAATGATTACATGCATGACTCACCGATGCTAATACAGGTAAAACTGTACTTCCAGGGCCCAAAAGGTGATACTTGTTTTTTTTTGTAGAAAAGGTCTTTTTAACAGTTTTTTTTCTGGCGCTTCGCCGGCCGCTGCCGCGGCACGCTCGCTTTGCTTGCTCGGCTCGCGCGCTTTGCTCGCTCGGCTCGCGCGTTATGGTCACAACACTAACCTAACCTAACCTAGTGTGAAGTATCATCACTTGGTAAGAAAAGTAAAAATTTTCAAATTTTTTTTCTAAAAAACTACCAGTGCATAAGTGTGACATTTTTTTAATAATGTGGTTAACAGAAACCTTTTTAACAACAAAAATGCGAAATTACAACCAACAAAACTGTGAAGTTTTTACTTTTGGGCCCTGGAAGTACAGTATATCCCATACCCGCCCCTGGATGAGAGACGGGTTTATGTGGGACTCATCCTCCCCCACATCCCGCCCACCCGCTCAGCCAAACTGGCTCAGCGGCTGCTCGGGATGAGGGGGCGGCCCTACCCACTAAAAGTTTCGTGGGATCCAGGTGACGTTTCCCCCGGCAGGGGTTCCTCCTCCTCCTGGCGGTCGGGGGGATACCCGGGAGCACCCAATGTGCGTGAAAACCTAAGAAACAAATTGATTATGATAATGATTACATGCATGACTCACCGATGCTAATACATCACAACGTTGGTCCACAGGTATCGTGCTGACGTTCTACATGGTGTTCTACGCTGTGCTGACGCTGATGTTCGCGGCCTGCATGGGTGGCCTTTTCTTGACCCTGGACCCCAAGACTCCGTCATACACCATGTCCAAGTCGCTCATAGGTATTAACTTTTTATTATACTAGTGTAAAGAAAAACTTAGACTGGCTTCAAAAGCTGAATTATATGGAAACGGAAAATCTTCTACTTACATGTTGTTGCAAATATCACCCATATACGTTGTGTTTCTTTGCTACCCGTGAGAACAAATATGCATAATCACATATCACGTACAGTACACTCACTAACACACACGCACACACACACACACACACACACACTACACACACACTTACTAACACATAAAACACAAAAAAAAACAAATGTAGAATTAAAGAAAAGTTTTGCTAGAAAAAAATCCACGCGGATCAGGCAGCGGACGGGACTCGAACCCGCACCCTTCGCAATCCGGGCGAATGCACTGACTAATTATGCTACCACGGCCCTCATGGCCGCATCGAAATTTTCCTAGCCTTAAGCTGCAAGGCAGCGCCATCTCTTAGCATTGTAGGTAACCCACAATGTCAAATGAATACTTTTTCAAGTACTAAACATTTGAAAGAAGAAATAGCAATTACAGTTAGGTTTTTATTTTATTTAAATTTCAATGTTTTTCTTAATTTTGGTTAATTAGGTACAAATTTAGATGGTTACAATTAGGCTACTTAGTGTGCATCCCCATGACAAATTCATGTCATAGAAGGAGACGCTGGCGGTTGTAACACAGTTAATACTAGTACAGCCGTCAACGAACCTCTTATACGTGAAATATATTTAAGACGACCTCCGTGGCCGAGTGGTTTGTACGCCGGGTTTCATGGTGTCGCCGACTCGAGAGGTCCCGGGTTCAAATCCCGGTGGGGGCAGATGTTTGTGTGATGAATACGAGCATTTGTGCTCCAGTCATGCCTGTTTAACATATATTTCTAAAAAAATATATTATTATATATGTACAGTATATGTATTCTATCCGTTACCCTAGCATCCCATAACACAACCCTTACAGTGCTTACTTTGGAGTTAGGCTAATTGGTGTGTGTGTTGGAAATATTTATTATTATTATTTAATTCCTCTAATTAGTATATAAGAGCAATTGTAACTTTTAAGATAGATAAACCATTATTATTATTATACTTTACTAGCGGATACGACAGACGTTCTCCTGTCGGTTAAAAATTTTCTTAAACGTAACTGCAGCAGTTTTCTAACGTTTTTTTCGTAAAAGCTTTCTACAAAGTACAAGATAGCTAACTAACGAAAAACAAGATATGGATTAAATCGATAAAGTAGTTATCAAATTACTTAATTAGAGGAAACAGCTATATTTGCCTCCTAATGGTAGATAGTAACCACATCAGCCTCTGTGACAGTGTATAACAGCAATTGCAGGTCATTAAATAAATAAAATAAATATTTCCAACACTCAAACCAATTAGCCTAGCCCCAAAGTAAGCACTGTAGGCTTGTGTTATGGGATACTAGGGTAACGGATAGAATACATATACTGTACATATATAGGAACTAGCAAACCAGTGAACCAAATGTTCACCAAAACCTGATTTAAAAAAAAAATGTATTTAATTAATTGAGAACTTCGGAGATTTTGTGTGGTTTCGTTTGAAATTCGTGATTTCTCGAAAACCGGAAGTGCTACGTTACTCAAATCCGGTTTGTAGTCTTATCAGACTAATCTTAACTTATAACTTAAATATTCTCTTTATCTATCTCTCACGGTTTGGCCGCTGAAACAGCACCACAGACAGACGGACGGACGGACTTGTCTAATAGATAAGAGATATTCATATAGAAATACATATTAAACATCCATGACTGGAGTACAAATGCTCGTATTCATCACACAAACATCTGCCCCCACCGGGATTCGAACCCGGGACCTCTCGAGTCGGCGACACCATGAAACCCGGCGTACAAACCACTCGGCCAAGGAGGTCGTCATTTGCTGTTAGTGATTCAGGAGTTCAATAACTTTCTCTAACAAATATGTATTAGATTTAAGAAAATCTCAGTCAAATTAAAGTTATAATAATCTCTTATCTATTAGACAAGTCCATCCGTCCGTCTGTGGTGCTGTTTCAGCGGCCAAACCGTAAGAGATAGATAAAGAGAATATTTAAGTTATAAGTTAAGAATAGTCTGATAAGACTACAAACCGGATTTGAGTAACGTAGCACTTCCGGTTTTCGAGAAATCACGAATTTCAAACGAAACCACACAAAATCTCCGAAGTTCTCAATTAATTAAATACATTTTTTTTAAATCAGGTTTTGGTGAACATTTGGTTCACTGGTTTGCTAGTAATTATATAATCTTTATTTCTGAACCATATCACGTATACAATATGACAATTTAGCGTTAACAACCGTAGTAGTCTTAGACTGTGTTACAGTTAATAGCGCCCACCTCAAAATATAGGCACATAACAGACATGATTAGAAATAAACAAGGTATTTAGAATACATTACACTGTGTGTGTATGAGTGAGTGTGTATATGTAATGTGTGTGTGAGTTATTCAGAAAATTGCGAACAAACAGATATACATATGGGTGGAATACGAATCCTTTTATTTAAAATTAGTTTTTTATTTTCCATACACACGAGTACTTAGATTTTAGTCTGAAATCAAAATTGTTCCTATGTGACGATCAGTATTTTCCAGGCATAAACCCGGGCGTGGCCGCTCGCCCGCATCCCAACTCTGGGCTGGCCAACATCTACGACGCGGCCAACGAGACTGCAATCAACAAAATCGTGGAGAAGCTCGACGAATTCTTGCAACGTGAGCATTAATTTGTACTCATTATCAGTGATCAGTTATAGGGAGAAAAAAGTACCTAATTGCTTAGATTAAAACATTAAGGGTAGATACGGTACGCTCATACTTGCATCAAACAAAAACTGATCCCACGGCAGCGCGAACGGGACGGCGAGATCCGCGTCACTGCATTACCGACCCGAACGAAACAGCACGTTAAGTTTCAACGGCAGCGCGAACGAGACGGCGAGATCCGCGTCACTGCACTACCGACCGAATGAGATTCAATACAAACAGCAATTTTTATGAAAAAATATATTTTTTAGTACTTACGAATGAAAAGTGATGCCGTGGTTTTTATTTTTAGTTCTTGAGCAATTTGAGCACTTTTTAAAAACACACTAAGGCATTGTTTTATCATATAAACACAAAATATTAGCAATATTTCTTTTTGGCGTTCACATGTACGTCGTTTGCATGTCAAGTTGTGACTAAAGCGATTAGGGTCGTGGACCACAATTTATGTGGATCACTTTTGTGAGGCTAGTGCCGTATCTTTTTTTTTTTATATTAAGGTAGGCAAATGACTCTACCCCACCTGATGTTAAGTGGTAATAAAGTCCAAACGCGAAGATAGCTGGTACAGCAGTTATAAACTGCTACACCAATCATCCTCACCTTGCCGGCCTGCAAAAATGCTTCTTCACGCCTCTCTTAGGCTACGCTCACTTTGGATACGAATTAGATCGTGCGTAAACGTGTGAACACTGTTCGTACGAATTGAGTGCGCACACTGAATACGTTTTTCTCCGTCAAATAGACAGTACACCGGTGTTAGCGCATACGTGAAGTCATCTTTGCTGCAATGAATAATCTTTATCTTTTGGACAATCATCTTCTAAACCGTAGATTGCGACGCCGTCGTCGTTATCGTAGAACCGAAGGGGTGCGCGAAATATTTTTAAAAAGAGATGAGTTCGGTGAATTTCATCACATTATGAAAGATTTGTATAACGACCCCAGACTGTTTTATGGTTATACACGCATGGGGAGAGATACTTTTGAGTACATTCTTAATGCAATACGACCTAACCTGACTAAATACAGCAACTTTCGCGACACAATATCACCTGAAGAACGATTAATTGTCACTTTAAGGTAAGAAAGTAAAAAAATGCTTTTTCGATATATTTTTATATAATAATTCTTTATTCAAATGAAGACAGTCGTACATTAAATATTTGAGTCAGGATTGAATTGCATAACATAGTGAGTAACAGCTGATGGTTGTTGTGACATTAAAAAATGTTGTTGCGATTGTCCTAGTGTCGAAGTATTTGGTGACATATTTAATTCATCACTGAACTGAGCCAAATCAGTAGAACTTTCTTTCTGTACCACAGATGAAGCATGAGCATTCTGTTCATCAATAAGTACTTGTTGTAGTCTTGAACGTACAATTAACTTACGATGTTTAGGTATGTCTTTTAAAAATGGGAGGAGACTCATTAGGAACTGTGCATCAGGATCATTCGCACTTTTTTTAAAGTACTGTAATTTCTCCTCTTCAATTTCCAACAGTTTTGCATCGATTTCCTGTGGCTGACTTCTTTTAGCTTTTTTTTTCAATGGAGATTTAAAATGCTTTGGAATTTCTTGGTCACTTTGTTCAGAAGATGGACCAGGTAATGGCGAAGGTGTGTAGTTAGAACTTAAATTTGTATTAACACTATCCTCCCCATCCGAACTCTCATATGTATCTGGCACGTTACCTTGGAGATCCCTTCTGGACATTGTACTTGGGAGGAACATCAAAAGCTGAAAATAAGGCCACTTGGAGAATTGTTCTGCATTGGCTGCTTGGCCAGATTTTTTATTGTTGAGTTTTTTTAGTTCCTTCCCGAAAGTGTCTCGTAGTCCCCGCCATTTTTTTTTAACTCGTCAACTGAAAATAAATAATAAATAAATCTCTTATTATTACAGGTACTTAGCCACTGGCTCATCATTCAGATCACTTGGATATACATTTAGGATTTCAAACAATACTGTTGGTTATATCGTACATGACACTTGTAACTCTATTTGGGAAAATCTTAATGAAATTCATATGAAATTTCCATCACGTGCAGATATGGTCAATATAAATAACGACTTTTGGAGAAAATGGCGGTTTCCTAATTGTTCTGGTAGCATTGATGGAAAACATATACGAATAAACGCGCCAAAACATTCTGGTAGTATGTACCGAAATTACAAGTCCTTTTTTTCAATTGTATTGCAAGCTGTTGTGAATGCAAACTACAGATTTATTGCTATAGACGTGGGAGCCTATGGCAAAGAAAGTGACGGTGGAATATTTTCACATTCAAACCTCTCAAGACTATTGGAAAATGGTGCTCTCAACACAAACCAGGAAAAAGTATTACCAGGAACTGATACAGCTTTGCCTCATTTCTTAGTTGGTGACGAAGCTTACCCTCTGAAGACATACCTCATGCGCCCCTATCCTCAAAGAAATTTGGGTCCCGAAGAGGAAATATTTAATAAACGCTTATCAAATGCAAGACAGGTTGTTGAGTGTGCCTTTGGCATTCTGAGTAGTAAATGGAGATTGTTGTTGAAAGCAATTGAAGTAAATCCCAACCGTGCAGATGTTATAGTAAAGTGCATATGTTTACTTCATAACATAATTATTGATAAGGAGGGTATCCACGATTTGCCTACGGAATTACCACAATTACAAAATGAAAACAGAAACCGATTCATGACTGCAGGTGAAAACAGAAGCGCAACGAGAGCTCACAACATCAGGGATACACTCAAAACTATTTTTGTCAAAATAACAATTGATTTTAAGACAATACTTATCTGTTTATCATAAAATAAAATATAAAATGTACTCACCAGATTTTTCCATTTCTTCGGATATTTCACGCCATGCCCTACGCTGAATGTCACGTAAGTGATAACTATTATCACTTTGATCCCACAAAGATTTATGTCCGTGAACCAAGTTAATTAACTTTTCTACATCCATTATTATTGATAATTAACGCACGAACGTGTCATAAAATCCCAACAAGTTCGGATTGATTTCGAACGTCGGACGTGCACGTACGTATACGTACGACTAACTCGCGCGCAGTGTGAGCGCTTTAATAGTACTCAGAAGGTCGGGAATGTTCGTGCGTGTTCGTACGTGTTCGCACGACTCAAATTCGTACGAAAACGCGTGCAAAGTGAGCGCAGCCTTAATCTACCCATTTTGTTTTAATCTAAGCCTAATTGTGTACTTAAACCTTTTTCTGTCTACCCTCCGTTTTGGAATTTTTCAATACGACACTACTCCCTGCAGGCTATACACTCCTTAATTGAATTTGATACACATCAGGTGAAAATGAAATGCCGTTTCGTCAGCCCACTTCTTGTGAAGAGATGGTTGATAAGGTTTATGCAACTTTTCTAAAAATCGTAGGACAGTCTCATCTTTCATATTTCTGCCAAAGGACACCCGGCATTTTGTGCCAAAGTTGTATACTTTTTTAATTTTTTTATCTGTGTTTCATAATTGGGTAACGTAGTCTGGCAATATTTGTCATCAGCAGCTAGCTGTCAATGTCAAATACGTAGGTTTGTCAATATAACCTGTATATGTAGCCGGGTCGTCAAGAGAAATAACGGATAAAAAGGCAATCACAGCAGAGAACATTCACAATCACAGTACGCGGGAGCGGATGCGAAATGCGAATGTTTTTTTTGTTTTTATTTTAGGATTTTCAAATTGACATTTGGTTTTTTATTTAGAAAAAGCAAAGGAATAATGGTTTTTACAGTCACTTTAGTAAAATTTTGAAGTATAATTCTGTCCCTTGAAGATTTAGGGTTTCCATATCAAAAAATATTAATCATTATATAACTTCTTTCCACGTTTCACTAAAAATAAGGCAAAAGTAGTTTTATGTAGCAAATAATTTTGGCTTTATTTTGAGACCAAATTCAATTGTGTACAAGTTTAGCATTTTTTCTATGAATAGTGCCGGGTCTCCTTTGCAAAACAATAATGTATGTTTATTCCTAAAAATTGTTTAAATAAATAAATAAAATATGAAGTCCCCATTTCTTTAGTAAATAGTAGAACATAGCAAAACAATACCTTAATTTCACCACCGGTCAACAATATAGAACTGTTTGATTGGATCGCACGTAAGTGTAGGCGTCTAACATACTATATGTACTAAATTAGGTGACCTTGTTTAGCTACAATCTGTTAAATGTCCACCTGTTTGTGTTTACATAGTAGCTTTCATCTAACAAGGGGTGTGTTTTTATACACAATCAAAGCAGTATAGCCTCAGAATCTATTTATATAAAACTCAAAGGTGACTGACTGATATAGTGATCTATCAACGCACAACCCAAACCACTGGACGAATCAGGCTGAAATTTGGCATGCAGGTAGATGTTATGACGTAGGCATCCGCTAAGAAAGGATTTTGATCAATTCTACCCCCAAGGGGATAAAATAGGGAATGAAAGTTTGTATGAAACTTTGTCAATTTTAAACCGATCGGGCTGAGACTTTGCATGCAGGTATAAGCAGAACAAAAACTGTAGTCTACACTTCAGCTCTACACCGAAGCGAAGCGAGGGCGGGCCGCTAGTACACAATAAAAGTCAGATGGACGGAACACGCAAGTGCGGCCACCGAAGCAAATACGAAATCAATAGTAATGACTTTTTTGTCAATGTGTTGTAAGAGTTTTTACAATGTTTGAACAAGACAGTACAGTTTTGACAAAAACTTAATATTCATGGGATGTATTCAGAACACGATGCTTTGTAGTGCATTGAGGCGAATTGATATTCGCTTTTGATTTCGTATTTGCTATGGTGCTACGCATTGCGTTTTCCGTGCACTCCATCTGCCATTATTGCATTCAGAATTTTTCAAGTAAGCCCGGGGAACGCAATTAAATTTCATGAAACAATTTTTCTTTAATGTAATTTACAATAGTTGTGAATCAATACACAAAAATCACCAAGCACAAGATTTCCAAAGATTTCCTAATTAATTGAATGTGTTATTGACATTCTGTCAACTATTATGATGTAGTTGAATTAGTTAAAATGCAGCCAGTCCCGTGGGTTGGGCCTCACAGGTATCTGAAGGTGTTTAAACTAAATCGTAGCGATTTATAACATAACACAATGAAAAACTAACTGTCAATGTATTTTAACGTATTCCAGTGACCTTCCCCACCTGATTTTAAGTGTAAGTGAACTCCAGCGAAGACAGATGATGAGACAGAAAAGAATTTGCTAAGCCGTAAGTTTATCAATCCACCTAAAAGCATAGCAACTCGCCACGCCTATGTCTACTATAGATCATTGTATATAACGTAATACCAATGTAGCATAACATATTATCTACTATTAACAAGTCACTTAATGTTGGCACATCTGTTGGCGATCGTAGCGAGACCAACACAATAACCGCGTGGGTATATGGATTATATGGGCGGCTGGTGTCCTGGAGTTAGGCTTGTTGAAAATATATCGATGTATCGATATATCGATATTTTTTGTTCGATATATCGATATTTTTTGCCGATATATTTTGATTCGATATATCGATACATCGAATCAAAATAACCAATATCGAAATTCGTATCAAAAACGATATTTTTTTAATTATTAGCGGCATATCACGATCTAACTAAATTCGTATCTGGAAAAATCGTAACTGGATCTCAGATTAATGATATACAACATATCTATGATCTGTGCGGTATTTAGTATTGTCTATGTCATCCTTCGAAAATAGGGTCTATTTTTAGGGAGATAATTTTCGTTTCATTATTATTCCGCGTGTCATATTTCGTGAGCGATATTTTTGGGAAAATTGGTCCGATATATCGATATATCGATGTTTTTTTCGCGATATATCGAAGCCGATATTGATATTTTTTAAAATATCGATGTATCGATATATCGATATTTTTTTCAACTTTCGACATCCCTACCTGGAGTATTGATTGCCATCAATAGGTCGACGTTTGACAATACGAGCGCGTCACCCTGGCCGCACCCTTTGGATCTGTATCAGCATGGGTACTTAGGAAATATCCACAGCAATTTGCGTGATGTATCACTTGTACGGAGAACATATATCTATATTATAGCTATTAATATAGATATATGTTCTCCGTAAAAGCCCAACGGGCTTACAATGTTTTGCGCATCCAATATAATAATGCGTTTAGGGCCCTGTTGCGGCTTCCGCCTTTCCGTAGCGCTTCAGCTATGTTTGCCGAGGCGCATACAGATGGTTTTGATGCGATTTGGCGTAAAAGGACTGCATCGCTGTTGGGCAGAATACGCGAGAGTGGCAACAGTATTTTAAACATTATTGCTAACAAATTTGATAGTCCTCTTATGTGGAAATTTATCCAGAGGACAAAATCACCCTGAACCCACTTAGATACTTATTTTTATTCTACCCTACAGAACCATCGTACCATTACTCATCTAATTCAGTAAAACAACAATGAAGTCAAATGGTTATCCATATGACTGCATGCAGTTTTCTGTAAAATGGAAAATTCCCCGATACAGACACTCCATTTGGAATCCAAAATAAGCTATTTCCTATTTCTCTTTAAGGTTCCGCACTTATACCAAAATTATCGAACAGATATAGATCATTAATAGCTATTCAATTCAATTCAAATTGTTTATTACAGACAACAAAATGGTCCATCAAATCGTTAGTAGCATTATTTAACTTAAATGCTATGTTAGTATATATTATTTCTGGGAATCAATCGGTGTGTTTTTTTTTAAATACTGAAATTGTATTATATATAATATAAAAAGTAATCTAAACCCAATGTATACTAGCATCAAATAAAATATGGTCCGACTCAACTACATAAGCAACTCGCACACACGCACACGTCTGTATATAAATATTCAATCGAGCGAGCTAGAGCGAACTATACGCTTCAACGCAGTATATTGCTGTCCTTTTCATGATAACAAAATGGCGATTACGTAAATAACATTCACGACAAACCGTGAAGAAAATGTTTTTACAGTTTTACGAATGAAATGTGTTGCCGAGTTTCTTATTGGATTTTGAACTATTTATGTTCTTTATAAAAGCATTTATTTTATCTTCTTGATCACGAAGGCATTGTTTTATCTTCATATAACAGAATATACTCAATATTATTATATTGAGTGCACATGCAGGGTGTTTGAATATCCAATTGTGACTAAAGCAAATTGTGGTCATGCACCACAATTTAAGCGGATCACTTTTGAGCCGCGTGTGCCGTATCTTTCCTTTTTGTTTTAATGTAAGTTATTGACCGGTTTTTGTATTGAAAATAAATCGTATGCCTGTATGTTTTGCTGTTAAATAAATAAGACTCTTAACTGATGTGGAAACGGCAAGATTGGTTTACTTTGGTTACTTTCATAGTTAAATGACTATGTCCTTTTGTTGTAGGGCTCAGCTGCTAATATCGATACTATTTTTATACTGCAAATGAAAGCTATTCGCGCCATATACATCTTGAAGGCAAGAGATTCTCTTAGAGAAAAATTTAAAGGAATAAATATTTTAACACTGAAAATATAATATATGAGTCGTATAGTATCAAAGGCGGCAAAGTGCCCTACTGTGCCTCATCATAACTACAAATCGTAGTGAAATGTCAATATTTTATCCTCCCTTAAAGACCAGACTAAACAGTTTTTTTTGATTTGCCAAATATTTGGTTCGCCCTACTGTGCCGCCTTTGATACTATACGACTCATAAGAAAAACCATGACGTATTTGCGAAAAAAGTCAAACCCATAACTTTAATAGGAGATTGAAAAACAAGCTTGGCGTTCCATGTTTCAGACTCTAAAAATCAAGAGGTTCATTTGTGTCTTGTTCAAGAATACTCTTATGAGTAAGGGCTATTATTAAGTTGATGATTATCATAATGATAGTAATGCATGGACATAGTGTTTCTTGTGACTTCAGTAATATCTCAGATTTTGTTTCAACTTGGCGACTCTGTATTTAATAATACAGCAAGAAAAAAGCAGCCCTTGCTGAGTTTCTTCCCGGTTCTTCTCGGTACAAGGTCTCCCGCCATAGTTTTGCGAACGATGTCGTCGCTTCTCGGCCTTCACAAGTGCTTGTAACAGCCTAGATTGAATAAATGATTTTTGATATGATATGCCTTTCCGCTTTCTTTATCATTTGCAAATCTATTAAAATTGTATCAAAAAATTGGTAAAGTGAATATTTAATTTTGTTTTTAGCTTACCAGAAGGCAAAACTTATAACATCTGAAGACTGTACCAGGAATGAGAAGTTTGGCTACCCGAACACTCCGTGCTTCTTCATTAAGTTAAACAAGGTATTGTAGCAAAGAGTCTGTGTTGTTATTAATACTCAGCCGGTATCATTTCAATTTATTTAGTTCCTAGAAGTAAAACTTTTTAATGTTCGTTATCTTTATCCGATTTTTTATCAGTTTACATTTACATATTTCAAAGATGAATTTATTCATTTACAGATTATAGGTTGGATACCAGAATGCTACAACGATGCTGACAATTTACCTGCAGATATGCCTAACGACCTTCAAGATTACATTAGGTCTCAATCACCTATGGTACCTATTTGTTAAATAATTATGTAACCTCATAACATAAATAATTACAAAACTACATGAGTGCCCTGAGGGACTCTAAAATACAAGTTTAATAATTTGTGTTCATTCATTCCAATGCTAATAGATGTATCGATCAAACGTATTTCTCTTTTTCAGCTTAACCAAATTTGGGTTTCCTGTTGGCAAGAGAAACAGAATAATACAGAGATCGAATATCCTTGGAGTCGAGGATTACCAGCGGACAAGTATCCTTTTATGAATGATGAAGGCTATTTTAGTCCACTAGTGGCTGTGAAAGTGACTCCACCAGGTAATTTTTAGATTCTTGAACCTAGTTTCCATGAGTGAAATTATTTGGAGAGGTACCTTTACTGAGGTACGCATGGTCAAAGTACAATCTAAAATATGTATTCAGTATTTATGTAGAACTCAGTACTTACTTACTTAAAAATGCTAAACTATTATCCAACTTAATCCTACTGAGACTGAAAAGTCTCATCAGTTTGGTCGCCGCTGTTGGCCGCCAACACCGAACTACTGTACTGATGACAGGGTAAAGCTAGTCCGGGTGACGTCAACCGAACTAACGCAACTGAAAATTCTCATTAGTTCGGCCTACCTGACTATTGCTACTGGAGGAGTCCTAGTCTATTTTGCCTTTTATTTATATCTGTATTATGGAGTTGCGATAACATTTTTTATTTCTTCACCTTTGTAAGTATCGAAATCGATTATTTTATTCACAATTACTGTTCTGCCATTGCAGTTAATGAGTTAGTCTACATCCGATGCCGTGTCTGGGCCAAGAATGTGATATACAACAAGAGTATGAAGGAGCCATCAGGCTACATACGTATTCAACTACTCGTGCAAGATGCACGAACGACGATCAAGACATCCACCGAAAAATAATCTGTTCGGTCCTCTATAAATTGTCTGTGAAAGTAAAATATTATTGATAATGTTAGTTATAATATTGGAAGTTTATGCAATAAGTAGGTAGTTATTGGGAATTCTAATCACTTTTATCTCTATTTCGCAAGCGATTGGAGGCTTCTAATTCACTTTTTTGATTTTGTATTTTAAGAGATAGAAGTGAATTTGAATTCCCAATAACTACCTACTGCAATATTGTAGTGAAATTGTTAACTACTTCAAATATTTAAATATCATGAGACCCAATCCTGATGTAAGGGATGAGTGTTCTTATTATTATGTATAATAAATCTTTTATTTTATATAAATAATAACATAAACCAACTTTACCGCTGTAGCTCTTATATTATTTTTAAGCTTTAATGTCTTCTTCAACCCCAAAACCTTATTAAACACCCGTATATTGGTAAAATTAGTTCAATTACGGAATTATGCGGATTTTCAAGAATCTCTTCAAGAATCCTCAAATACCTAAAATCAGCAAAACTGTAATAATAGACATTTCTGTATCATAGTTTAATGCAATGTACATAATTTTATTGTTAATTTTTGCTTTTGACATTATCGATTGTTTAAAAAATGACTATCGTTTAAATCACGACTCATAGTTTTAAATAAAGATATTTTAAAGATAGATATTTTGTTCATTATGTGTTCGAATGCTAAATGTAAGTTACATAATAATTATAAGCTTTCATTAATTGTAATCGTGGGAAGACCATGCACTTCTCTTGTGGATATAAAGTGATCTTGTACTTTCATTAGTCTAATATTTTTAATTTTTGGACACATGAAATGTGTTTAAGGTGATCTTTCTATTTAGAAATTAGAGGAAATCAAATCTCATTTAAGTGAGATACACATTACATATTTTTAGATGCTTGTCTTCCTAACAGTCTTATAATCTCAATTTTGGATTTTCAAAATCAAAATAATTACCGAGTAATATTTTATGTTGTTTGGGCGTAGGTTTAAACTTACGAAATGTTTTGTTATGAACGAGTGAAGAATTAAGCATACCTGTCAGCCTTTATGACGACCTCCGTGGTCGAGTGGTTCGTACGCCGGGTTTCATGGTGTCGCCGACTCGAGAGGTCCCGGGTTCGAATCCCGGTGGGGGCAGATGTTTGTGTGATGAATACGAGCATTTGTACTCCAGTCATGGATGTTTAATATGTATTTCTATATAAATATACTTATCTATGTACAGTATATGTATTCTATCCGTTACCCTAGCATCCCATAACACAAGCCTTACAGTGCTTACTTTGGGGCTAGGCTAATTGGTGTGAGTGTTGGAAATATAATATTATTATAATTTATCTTGATGTTTTTTCAAAATTTCATGCGTGTATAAATCAAAATATGTGTATTGAATAAAACTAGTTTTTACGGGTTAATGCACGAAACTTTATTTATTAATTTACGTTTCGTAGCCTTTACAGGCTACGTCGTCGGAAACTTTTATTTAATTTGTCGAGCTACCTTCGAAAGACTTTTATTAAGCGTTCGGTTATTTCATTATTCGATTTTTAAAGTTTTATTGTCTATGTATGAATTTATTATTTAATTTACTTAATAAAGTATTTTATTTAAAATTCTTTTTTTGTAATTTTGAGTTTATTTATTTGACCCTAACTACCGTAAACGACCACCGGCTCCAAAATTGGGAGACCTTTCTGAGAAGAACCGGCGAAACAAACTCAAGAGAGGCTTTCTATCTCCTTCTAATGTGAATTATGAAGTAGCCTGTAAAGGCTAAAAGGTAAAAGGGAAACGTAAATAAATAAATAAAGTTTCGTGCATTAACCCGTAAAAACTAGTTTTATTTAATGAGTGATGTGCGTGAAAACCTAAGAAACAAATATGTGTATCGAGTTAAAAAGTCCTACGAAAATAACGAAGAAAACATTCTCACGGAACCAACACATAGCGTCGTCAATTAGACTGTAATTAATAAAAGCTATGTATCATAGAATTTATCTACTTTATTTGAATCTTATCATATTTCCATAGTTTAATAAATTACCTACTTACACGAGTAAAAAAAAACAAATAAGTGTTGTTCAATTTCATTTTGTTTTATTCAAGGACTTAAACGTACTACGTGTTTTGTCTTTTGTAAATTAAGCTCTGTGAAAATCATAATTATTCAAATGTAAAAGACAGGGATTTAAGGCAGGGCATGGGGGGCGGTGACCCAGACCCTTACGACCAGAGAATACAGAAAGAGGTTAGAAGTGCCTTGTGGGCTGGACAGGCGCGCCGCAGTTATGTGTGAGCAAATGTTCATAACTTAATCAAACCTTGGTACTGATTGGTTCGATTGTTTGATGTCGCTTCGTTTCATAGGCTATTTAGATCTGAAAGAAATCAATTCTCACTCAAAAATATAAACTAAATTTTTATTACAAAATAAAAGAAAAAAAATAACTATTCTTGAAGAAAATAAAAAAAGAGGAATAAAACAAATAGAATACTTTTGAATTATCTGGAAGTGTAGTGGGGGAGAGCTGGCTACATCGGTTCCCGCACAATCGGTTTAAGATTCACCTTCTAACCTCTTTCAGTGTTCTGTGCTTACGACAGAAATAAAAAATCAAATTTCGTCGTAACTGGTCTGGCCTACATTTAGGCCTGCGTTGCCCCAAGGCCCTGTAAATCCGGCCCTGCTCTCCTAGCATGAGCACCGCGATATGATACATAACTCGTTTTTATCAGTTTCAACGGGTTAGATGCACTGAATTTATTTATTTTTTGACGTTTTTCATTCATTATTCAGGCGACGCATTCCTGAAATGGCTGCGAAACGTCAATAAATAAATCATCTAACCCGTTGTAACTTGTTTTATTTAATGAGTGATGTGCGTGAAAACCTAAGAAATCAAGCTCTATAGGGTATTTGACAAGTTTTAGAAAACGATCTCACGTTATTGACTAATTTTTATGGAGTCCGTAAAAACGAAGGATATTCATCATTCTGTTGTATATTTCACTAAAAATTACCAAATCAAAAACTCCATTTTCAAGTTGCCGCGAAAACGTTTTTCTGGACAATATGGCGTCTTACTAGTGTGTGACGTCACACGACTGTTATTAAAACGTCAAACGATACAATGTAATGTCACTTTAACCGGAAGTTTACTTGCGTGTGACGTCATTTTAGGCTCCGCGAATACCCAAGCGTTTTGGGTCACGTGACAATAGATAAAAAAACTATTATCTTTTTCGTGGGTTTTTAGTAAAATTATGATTTTTTTTTGTAAAAATAGTCAAAACCCCTGCCAATATTCATTCTAAACACAAATGCTAACAATTGGCACTTTATTTTAAATACTGTCAAATAGCCTATTACAATGCAGTTTAGTTACACATGACAAAAAACGTGATATATAAAATGTAAATTCGCTCATGCTACGGGGACTGGTAAAAGAGCATTTTTACGCACGTCTATGTTATTAAGTTAAAAAGTCCTAGTAACGATCTGTTGTGTAAAGATTCACTTGTGTGTTGATTATGCGAAGCATTTAGGATAATATTGTCCCACCTGTAAAGTAGTTGTAGTTATCAGTTTATGTTATTGGCAATTTATTAATATAAAAAAAAACTGTTCTGATAAGTTTTTTTATTTATTCTCCCTGTTAGAACGAGAAGTTTGAAAAATTAAGAAGGGTGGGTCCCTTCTGTTCTTTGAAAGACAGGTAATGAGATTGGGCCCGGCTGTATCTGCAGTGCGTTTGCATTAGCACTAGACTTGCAACGAATAGTATATTTGGCAGTATACCGAATATTCGGCGAGGCCCCTGACCGAATATTAGGCAAAAATATTCGGCTGGATTTTAGCGCTAAAAACTTGTACAGACGTGATTGTTTCGCGCTCCTTTGTTTTGTTCTAATCTGCCGTCCTCAAGCTAAAATGCGGCTAAATGACCAAATCAACTTATGAGATATGGCCAAAAACGGCGCGTAAACTTTAAATTATTGCTATTATGTAACCATTCATCACATGACTGAATGAATTAAAAACTGTTAACTTGTTTAATACAGAAAATGATTAAATTATGTACCTGTTTTATTTACCAATGACTACTTAATAAATGATTATAAAAGAAATGAGAACCTTATCCTTCTAAATTTTGATTACCACAATAATTCAAATACATAGAATCCTCCATTTTTCCAATTCAGAAGATGATTAAGTACCAATGACTACTTAAATGATTATATAATAGAATTGAAAATATGAATATATACGTAATCAATCGATTTTAATATTTCATTTTACCAACTATTTCTCTATGACAAAATATCTCTTATCTATTAGACAAGTCCGTCCGTCCGTCCGTCCGTGGTGCTGTTTCAGCGGCCAAACCGTATTGAGATAGATATAGAGAATGTTTAAGTTATAAGTTAAGAATAGTCTGATAAGACTACAAACCGGATGTGAGTAACGAAGCACTTCCGGTTTTCGAGAAATCACGTGATTTCTATTTCAAACGAAACCACACAAAATCATCGAAGTTCTCAATTAATTAAATACATTTTTTTTTTGGTGAACATTCGGTTCACTGGTTTGCTAGTATTATTTAAGTATTCGGTATTCGGCCGAATAATATGTAGATATTCGGTATTCGGCCGAATATAATAAAAGCCGAATAGGCCGAATACCGAATAGTAACCGAATATTCGTTGCAAGTCTAAGTAGCGCCCACTATTCTACATATGGCCCAAGGGTGGGTGGGCACAATCTCCCTATTACAACCATAGGGAAGGCCTGTGCCTCAGTAGTAGGGACAATAAGAGGCTGATGATGGTGATGATAATCACACTAATATTATAAAGGCGAAAGTTTGTGAGTTTGTGAGTGTGTGAGTGAGTATGTTTGTTTCTTCTTCACGTCTAAACGGCGGGAGCGATTTTAAGAAAAATTTGGTATGCAGTTAGCTGACACCCTTGATTAACACATAGGCTACGTTTTACTGCGGGAAAATATCCCAAATAAACCCTTAGATTAAAACAAAAAGGGTAGATACGGTACGCTCATACTTGCATCAAACAAAAACTGATCCCACGGCAGCACGAACGAGACGGCGAGATCCGCGTCACTGCATTACCGACCCGAACGAAACAGCACGTTAAGTTACAACGGCAGCGTGAACGAGACCGCGAGATCCGCGTCACTGCACTACCGACCAATGACGCGACCAGTACTCGATGTCTCTACCGAATAAGATTCAAAACAAACAGCAATTTTTATGAAAAAATATATTTTATAGTACTTACGAATGAAAAGTAATGCCGTGGGTTTTATTTTTAGTTCTTGAGCAATTTGAGCACTTTTTAAAAACACTTACACTTAGGCATTGTTTTATCATATAAACACAAAATATTAGCAATATTTCTTTTTGGCGTTCACATGTACGTCGTTTGCATGTCAAGTTGTGACTAAAGCAATTAGGGTCGTGGACCACAATTCATGCGGATCACTTTTGAAGAATAAACCGCGGTTTGTTACCCGCGGGGCACAGTAAGTTAAGAATAATAATATTATGCTTATTTGGATCACAAAATATGTTACATTGAATGAATCCCTGCGGACTGTTGTAGTAAAAACTGTGTTAGGCCAGGCCGCTGTGACTTCCCTGATCAATGGTTAACAATAATATGCATGTAGTAATATGTAAAATAATAATGAGCAAAATCAAAATTTGAGGTAAAAAAAGATACATTCTGCAGTTTTCAATATTTGTCGGAAAAGATATATGTGTGTGCGTGTGTTTGTGTGTGGTGTGTATGTGCGTGTGTGTATGTATGGTTGTGTGTGGTGTGTGGTATGTGTAAACGTGTGTGTATTATTTTCATAATTGACCCACAATCCTGTGTGAGCAGAATTTTCGTGTCATCCATATTAATCGAACGTTAGCTAAAGTCATTTAATGAGTTTTTAAAGCTACCTTACTATATTTAGACATTACCTACGGTTTCTCCTTAGCAATCACATTAGCTATACAAAGAGAATTAGCGAAGTGGCAAGGGCTTGGCTACACGCAGTGCAGTCTTTGACCTATTGGAGGCCCTGAGCATATTAGGATAATGGGACCCCTATAACTTCCGTTTGGTGATCTAACAGGAACTAGGGACTTTGTATTTGATCTGAGGAGGGCCCCTATCAATCGCGGGGCCCTGGGCACTTGCCCAAAGTGCCCACTGGGAAATACGGGTCTGGCTACACGCATATAAAGTAAAGGTTGCATATTGGAGTTTACTCCTTAAGAATCGATTTGCATATACTCGTATAAGGGGCCCGGTATGAGAAAAATGTGAGGAGTTAAATCTATCGATGAATGACATTAATGACCTCGTTACGTTTTTGTGCGCAACCTCATGTGCGTACCTTTCACTTTTAGCCATGGCAACGGATAAAAAACATTAAGTTGTCACAAATGTCAATAAAATAAATAAACTCAAAATAGATAAAATTGGAGCAAAATTAATGAAAACAAATAAATAACAGAATATAGAGAAATGCCGGTAAGTGTCCAGCACTTTGGAATAGTGATTTTCAGTACAGCTGGAATTATAATACATATTTACAAAATGATGACTAGTGTGTGATATTTTTGAAATTGTGTGTTTCCAGAAATACATAATAAAATATATGATGAATATCGCTGATGTTAGATGATGAAATGTGTGACATGGAACCTATGATAGTCGAAACCATGGGACGATTCCTGAGGTATCTCTACTTGTAACCGACTTCTTCGGACTTGATTTTGTTTTGTGTCTGTTCAAAGACAATCGTTTTTAGAGTGTAAACTCCGGTCGTGCGTCGGAGCTGACACACACAATTTTTTTATATCGTCTGTGTCTTTACATAGTTCGCTATCTTTCATATGACCATGAATAGATGCAGAATATAAATATTCAATATGTTTTTTAGTACTTTGATACATATCTCTACGTTCGGATCCTGTACTTACAGGCTCCGTTTGCAAGAGTATGATTATTAATTAATAATAATCATACTCTTGCAATTAATCTTTCAATGAAGTATCCGAAAGTTCAATAAAAGATTTTGAAGTAAAACTTCTTTACGCACGCTTGACTTGGGGAGTAAGCTGGCGAATGCGTTACGCGTTACGAAAAGTGTGATCGGGCGAGGCGAACGGGAGTTGAGCGGAGGATATAAGCAAGAGGAAGCATTGCAGCATAAATATCTGCTGTGACGCTCTATCTATAGAGTAAATAATAATAATAAAATCGTTTATTTTCTCATCACAAACATTTTGGCATCGATAACATTTTTTTTTTTAAATATATTATTACATTAATGTTTGTGTGAGACTGATGCCCGTGCTAGGTTCGATATACCTGTGTTACAGGTCATCAGGCTCCCACCACCTCGAATCGCCAATGTTGGTTAACAAAAAACATGAGTATGAATATAAATTTAACAAAGTTTACTATTTTTTTTTAATTTTAATTGACACAGGTTAAACAAAGGGTGTATTTGTATGAAATTCTATGCAGTATGTATGTATATTTGGTGTGAGTGTAAGTGTGCGTGCTTGTGTGTGTAAACGTGAGCGTGACTATAATTATGTGTGTGGATGATATGATAAGTGTAAGACAGACAGCTGATATTTTTGCGGTATATTATCCTGAGGTGAGCAATAGCTGTTTCGTCATATGTTAGCTTAAGTAGCCATGAGCTTAGTTTTCTTTTACAGTCCCTTTTGGTCATTGAATAGAAGGAAAGGATTGTGTTTAATTTATTGTAAAGGTAGCTAGCTACCCATAAAGCAAAAGAATCTTTTTGTGAACTTAGTTTTTAAAGGACGGGTAGGACAAACAGTTCCCTTACGTCGTCTACCATTTAGAGCTTTCCCATCAAAATGAAGCTGAGATTGCTTACGAAGAACAGTTGATAATATAAAGAGCTGACGGACAGTGAGCAACTCTCAAAGCCTGTAAACTTGACTCGTGGGATGAAGAATGAAGCACCAACCTTCAGTACAAGCCTTTGCGCTCTTTCCACTTTGATCAGATGTGTTTTTGCAGCTCCTCCCCATGATGAAATACAATAACTTAAGATTGACTGGCATAAGGCGAGATAAACTGATTTAATAATTTGAAAGTCCGCAACATGGCGAAGAGATTTAAAAATGTAAATGAGCTTCCTTACTCTACCCGCCAGGAGCTCAATATGGGGATAAAAGCTGAGCACTGAATCAATCATGACACCAAGATATTTAATACTATCTGTCTTTAGAAGTTTAGAGCAAGCGCAGTTATTACTAGATAAGCAAGAGTGAACCGTCAGAGAGAGATCATCATGTTGAGTCTGCCGCCCAGAGGAAAAGATAATGAACTTGGTTTGCTGCATCTGCAGTCGTCAGAGTCATATTAACATAGAATAATCATATAATATTTATATTTATTTATTATTTTTTCATGCACGAGTAAATAATCAAAGAAATGCATATATTAATTTAGAAACGGTTTTTTAAATCCTTTGAAAAGTGATTTGTTTAATACATGCATTACCTTGATTATTTACTCGTGCATGAAAAAATAATAAATAAATATAAATATTATATGATTATTCTATGTTAATAAGACTCTGACGACTGCAGATGCAGCAGGGACCAACGGCTTAACGTGCCTTCCGAAGCACGTATACTAATTAGTTACTTACTATATAGCGCTTACGTCTGAATCTCTAGTCAGACTGCAATTACAAAGAAAATGGCCGTAATTGTCTTGTAGGTTTAATTAAAGTAGACATTGTCGCTAGTTTTGCAATAATATAAAACACGGATGAATTAAAAACATCATTAAATGGAATTGACGAGACCATAAGACTGTCTTTAAGTAAATTGATCTAATGCATTTTGTTACGTAATGTAAAATTGATGGAAAGCAATTTCACAGTTACTTCAAAGTTGGCAAGGGCAGTTAGCTAGGTAGGGCGGGCGCACGCTGGACTTGGGCGGATTACGGCGGTTTTGAGGCGCGTGAGTCAAAGATGAAGGTTTGGCAGATACGACATCTTCTTTCGATGATTCTCGAACTCGCGATTAGATTGTATGTTCTTGTGAGATTGTGTAAAATTACTTGTTCACCTTTCATCTAAGTTCGTCAAGTTAAAAACGAAAGAAAATTCTATTCATTATACATATGGGCCATTTTTCATAAAAAAATTGTTTTGTTGATATGAAAAATTACAACTTTTCGTTAAGGTCAATTAGATAGAGCTCGCGGACAAACGGACGTAAAGCACAATTTTAGCAATAGAGTTCTGCTGTCACTCTATATGTAAGAAACACTAAAAACCTGACTTTAATGAATGAACTCCGTGGCCGTGTGGTATGTACGCCGGGTTTCATGGCGTCGCCGACTAGAGAGATCCCGGGTTCGAATCCCGGTGGGGGCAGATGTTTGTGTGATGAACACGAGCATTTGTACTTCAGTCATGGATGTTTAATATGTATTTCTATATAAATATACTTATTTAAGTAAAGTATATGTTTTCTATCCGTTACCCTAGTATCCCATAACACAAGCTTTATAGTGCTTACTTTGGGGCTAGGCTAATTGGTGTGAGTGTTGGAAATATTTATATTTATTTATCTTTCAAATATTATTTTAGTTACCGTGAGAGTTTCAAAAAATATTTTTTTTTGTATAAAATCAAGTAATCTCGAACTTAATATTCAAAATAAAAATAAATATATTTACACAACTGTTATTGGAGAAAGTAAGAGATATAATTTTATTGAACAATAGATGATATCTTTCGCTATCTTCAAATATTCTGAGAGGCAACTTATTCTCAATGGTAGGCATAAAACACCACTGTACGAGGCCATAATCTATAAGAGTACTCTAAGTCAGTCTACTACAGGCTCGCAGGCACGATGGGTGCGGATAAGCCCAATGGGGTTGTGAACTATAGCAGAAGGCCTCCCAAGAGACCATTTATCCAGAACGTCCAGTACTCCATATGGAATCCGGAAGATAGAACCTTCTTAGGGCGTACTCCCAAAAGATGGGGTAAGTCATGTAGATTTTTTATTGCACAAATTTCTTATTAAAATTCCTTTTTTAAATTATAATTCACATATGGTTATGCAAAACTTTTGGTAAAAAGTTATCCTCATATTTTGCTTTGTGATAAATACAATTTTAACTTTTAGTACAAATGGAAGTTCTTAGGAAAATGGCAGTTGGAAAAGTTTTAAAAGTAGGTAGTTTTTTGTTAATACAACCAGGGCCGGATTTAGGATTGTGGAGGCCCCGGGCCACTTAGGATTTGTATTCTTGTTAACCCACCGAAGTGTTGTTTTTTCTTAAGCTGTTGTGGAGGCCTCTGGGCCACAGCCCCACCTGCCCTGCCTTTAATTCGGCCCTGCGGGCAAGTACCACCCCACTCAGCCCTTAAGCCATTGGGGTACTCCCTCAAGATGGGTAGTGAATTGGAAGTGCTTATCAGGGCCATTTGAGATTTTGATATTTCACTGATTGCCTGATTGGAGTGAACAAATATAGATAAATGATTTCTGTTTTTTAAGATTAATATAATCAAATAATCATTCATGTTAGATGTACAAAGTACTGTAGGCTCTAGGTAAAGGTAAAAGAGCAAATAAAAAATATCAAAGGAAAAGATGTTCAGTGTTTACTAGTTGGAATTTGAAAGATTTTTTTTCCCAAGTCTCTATTGTGGGGGCCCCCCGTTTGTGGAGGCCCCGGGGCTTTCGCCCCGGTTGCCCTCCCCTAAATCCGGCAGTGAATACAACTTTGACTCACTATTAATTTGAGAATGAAAGGGTGTCGCAATCTAAAATAAGTAATTTATACTGTGTGTACCTTATAAATAGGGATAATAAAATCAGTTACACTCTGAAGAAGACGAATTTTAACGTATAGTTTCTTTTGATAGTGAAGTTGCAAAGTATTCTAAAACTCTTAGAATACTTTGCAACTTGCAGAAGCCCAAAGTAAAATAAAAGTGCCATTTTGATAATCATCATCATCATCAGCCTATTAATGTCCCCACTGCTGGGGCACAGGCCTTCCCTATGGATAGAGCTGCCATCTCTAAAATGTGGCAACCAGGATAAGACGAGTGATAACCCCGGATTTTGAAGCCCAGAACCCGGACAGACCAATAAAAAAACAGTTAAAAATGTCACAAATCAACTTTTTTATGTTGATCTAGGCAAAAGAGCTAGCGGTCTACCTCATAATAAGCCCATGGACACTTGCAGCAACAAGGGCCACTCATGCATTGCCGTAAATTTTTAAACCCGGACTACAAATAAAACCCCGCCCGGACGCTCCCCGGACGCCCCGTAAACTAGGACAAATCCGGGGAAACCCGGACGGATGGCAGCCCTACCTATGGATGGAATAGGTAGATTGGGCCATGACCCACCACGCGGGCCCAGTGCGGATTGGTGGGTGCTAACGACTGCAGATGCAACCGGGACCAACGGCTTAACGTGCCTCCCGAAGCACGGAGGAGTAAATTTTTGGTCACCCATCCAATGACCGACCACTGCGAAAGTTGCTTAACTTCAACGATCGCAGCCGGACGCGCTAACCAGTTGCGCCATCGAGCTCCTCATCATCATTTAATTTTAAGGATCTTTGAATCTTGTAAAGGTTGAAGGGCTCCACGGGTTAGGGTATTGGATTCAGGCCGATGAGTAAGGATAGTTGGAGCTCGCATTGGCTCTATCTAACTTCGGCCACGCTGTTCAACATAAGAGTTGGTGGTGTAATCTTTTTGAAAAGAAAACTTCTTTAGCGGCGTTGTACACTTTTTTTTGTATGGGTAAAAAATGTTAAACTAGTTTCAGGTTAAACACGTGGGCTGATCGCATCATGACACACAATAAAATTGGAAAAGTTGTTGACTTTCAATATATTGGACGAAACATAGTAATATTTTATTTTACCGTATTATAATAATAAGGCTTTATCTAGGACTCTATCAGCTTTATTGCGAAGAAAATGCATTTTTTTTACAATAGATGTCGCTAGGTGCGCTTAAATGTGATTCATGTAAGTTGATTTCTTTACATTAGATGTCGCTAAGTGCGCTTAAACGTGATTCATGTAAGTTAAATTTCTGAGAGATAAACTTTTTTAATCTAATATAAATTGTCATGTTTAAATATTGTATTCTACCACATACATGATAGTACTATTATACTGATAATTAAAGCAATTCGTTAAAAATTATTCCCTAACCATTCCAAAATATCAAAAATGCACAACGTTAATGTTCAAGTTTTCACTTCTGCCGGCACTCCCGGAGTACATTGGACCACTATCGCACCTGAATTATTCCGTAAATGGAATGCTCCCCCCTCACGTGTTCCATCCCTCTTTACAACCTGGGATCCTTTAAAAGAGGCGTGAAGAAGCAACATGCAGGTCGGCATGGTGAGGATGGCTGGTGTGGCAGTTAGAACTGCTGTACCAGCTATCTTCGCGTCTGGATTTCACTGTCACTTAATATCAGGTGGGGTGGAGTCATTTGTCGGACCTATCTATAAAAAAAAATGAAGTAACGATGTGGTTTATTCTGGAGCAAGCAGACTCAAATAATGCCTATTTACTCTGGCCATAAAGATCTCTGTATTATATGTATTGTGGAATAATGACGCAGGAAAGTAATTCCATTTGTGCACTTTGTAAAAAAGATACGTTGCAGTTATTATTTTTTCCACCGAAAAAATGATGACGAGGAGTTTCGTGTCTAACTTGCACCAGCCATCTTTGCTGAAAAATCTACTCAAATCTGTAAATAAAGAGAGGTTTCTCAGATATTTGACGACCTCCTTGGCCGAGTGGTTTGTACGCCGGGTTTCATGGTGTCGCCGACTCGAGAGGTCCCGGGTTCGAATCCCGGTGGGGGCAGATGTTTGTGTGATGAACACGAGCATTTGTACTCCAGTCATGGATGTTTAATATGTATTTCTATATAAATATACTTATTTAAGTACTGTATATGTATTCTATCCGTTACCCTATCATCCCATAACACAAGCCTTACAGTGCTTACTTTGGGGCTAGGCTAATTGGTGTGAGTGTTGGAAATATTTATTTTTATTATTTATTTATTTTACTGTTCAGTGTCTGTGTGTGTAAATTTTATTATGCTTTTCAATAGTTTCGGAATCCTAAAAATCTAACCTTCGCTCATCTTTCTAATTCTTATTTGCATAGCAAAGTGGAAGAAGTGGGTGTAAGTTTACAGAAAAATTATAGTTGAAAGAAAAGTTGAAAAAGTTTTAACTATTATTTACTAATTCATTTAGAGTATAAAGGGGTGCGGCAATTTTAAGTAATTCATATTGCTTTAAATTTATATGCTACATTGAAAAATAAGATTAATAATAATAAATAAATAATTCCAAATCTCACACACATTAGCCTAGCCCCAAAGTAAGCACTGTAAGGCTTGTGTTATGGGATGCTAGGGTAACGGATAGAATACATACACCGTACATATATAAGTATATTTATATAAATACATATTAAACATCCATGACTGGAGTACAAATGCTCGTATTCATCATACAAACATCTGCCCCCACCGGGATTCGAACCCGGGACCTCTCGAGTCGGCGACACCATGAAACCCGGCGTACAAACCACTCGGTCACGGAGGTCGTCATTTAAGATTAAATATTCAGTAACATATAATTTTAATGTACACTTTCATATGATAGAGGATTGAGTAGTTATTAATCAAAAACTGTAAAAAATCTTCAATAGGAATAAGCTTATTCATTACTCTTCTGTTTAGTATTTTTTTTTCTTTTTACCCATTATTGGATTTTTTTTCATTATTTTGTGTAGAAATTACGATCCATTTCCCATACCAAAAGGTAATCTTTTTTTATACAATGAATGCAGTTAATAACCCTTAACGGCCGCCGTCCGCGTGCTTTCTTCGCATGTTCCGCAACGTGCTGCCATGAATCCATGATCATAAATCTAATATTATACCTTACACACGTCCATACCCATTGCCCGCGTATTATAGTTAACTAGCGGCCCGCCCTCGCTTCGCTTCGGTGTAGAGCTGAAGTGTAGACTACAGTTTTTGTTCTCAGGCTTGTATTATACACAATGACATTCATCTATGATTCTTCTTATACCTGCATGCAAAGTCTCAGCCCGATCGGTTTAATATTGACAAAGTTTCATACAAACTTTCATTCCCTATTTTATCCCCTTGGGGGTAGAATTGATCAAAATCCTTTCTTAGCGGATGCCTACGTCATAACATCTACCTGCATGCCAAATTTTAGCCCGATCCGTCTAGTGGTTTGGGCTGTGCGTTGATAGATCACTATGTCAGTCAGTCAGTCACCTTTGAGTTTTATATATATAGATTTCACTTTGTTTGATGGTCGTTGTCCGTATGAACGAAATCTGAATCACCTAGCAGATTCTAAGGTTATTTTAAACATTCATATGGTAACATAGTACGTTCCTTATACACATTACATTAAATTCAACGTCAATAAGTTTTAGTGCCGTGTGTGGTTTTGAAAGTTCAGCCGTTGTCAAAGTTGCTAATAAATATGTTTGAACCACAAAATGTCTTCTTAGATTTTTAAACTTTTATTTTTGAGAATTTAATGCTAGATGTTTAAATCTGAGAGAATATTACTTGAAATAGATTCTTTCGGTCCAGGTCCAAACGGGATCTCTTTTTTCTCTTCTCTGCAAACAGCAGTAAGAAATTTTATAATAAAACTAGCTGACCCAGCGAATTTCGTACCGCCATAAAAATAGGGGCAGGTGGTAGAAGAGAAAATTTAGGGTTATACGTGTTTTTTAATACCACATTAGAAAAAAATAAATATTATCCAAAAAGGGTGTGTAACGTAGTGTTCTATCACGACGCCTCATGTGTCTCTAAACACTTTGTATTTCTGACATAAAACCACAAAAAAAAATGTATCAATTTCCTGGGATAACATTCCTCCTAACCCATATGAGAACACTACGTTACAATACCCAATAGT